ATGATTTTCAATGTATTCCGAGTTTTTGGGGCTGTTTTTTGTTGTAGCTATGACTACTTTTTTTGTTGTTGTTTCAATCTATGTAATGCTTGACTTATAATTTGACTTTATATAGATTATACAATTGGAAAACATGGTTAGCATATATAGATTATACAATTGGAAAGCATGCATAATTTTGTTGACTTTTACAATATGACTTTAGCCTCGGTTAGACCAAAGCTAAATATTTTGTTGACTATAAAGTTTGAACTTAGCCTCGAAAAAGTCGAGGCAAAATATTCTTTTAGCCTCGACCAGGACCAAGGCTAAAATGTGCGTGGGCTTATGGAGTTTGACTTTAGCCTCGGTCAGGCCCAGGCTATTTTTGTTTTTTTGACACGACTTCATCGAGGCTAAAGTAGACATGGCTAAACCGAGGCTAAATTAGACACGGTTGAACCGAGGCTACATTTAGCCACGACTCATCTTGCCGAGGCTAAAAGTTAGCTTCGAGCGTTTTAGCCTATCCCCGACACCGACGCTAATCCGAGGCTAATTGGTTAGTAGCGGCGGTTTTTTGCCATATAGTCACGGAAAATGGCCGAGGCTAAATACAACATTTCTAGTAGTGGATAGTTACTTGGGTTGAGCCTGACAGTCTGCCCCAATGCGATGTAACCGTTGGCCCTGCGCTGGGGTTTCTCTATAAATACCCTCTTTCACTAGAGGGCCAGGTATCTTATTCTCTACACCTATTTCTCTGTACTTGCTCGCTCACTCTGATCCTTTACTCACTTAAGCATCAGAGTGCCTTGCAGGTATACCTTCCTCTTTCTCCATAACTCCGGTGAAATGTGCAATTCAACGACGCATGACAGACCACTAATACTTTTTGTTCAGGTGAGATCATATATATATATATATATATATATATATATATATATATATATATATATATATATATATATATATATATATATATATATATATATATATATATATATATATATATATATATATATATATATAATATTTAATACTCCCTCAGTCTCACATTGAGTGATCCATTTGGAATAAATGAGTGTCCCAAAATGAATGAGCCATTTCAATTTTCAATACATCTTTTCAAATTTTACACTTTAATTAATACCCTCTCTGTCATAAATTATAAATCACTTTACTAAAAAAATTTGTCTCAAATTATAAGTCACTTTACATTTCCAATACAATATTAATGACAGTCTCCCCAATATATCCTCAAATATTTATTATTATTTGTTTTTTAATTTTTTTTATTTTCTCTCTCGTATGTAATTATAAAGGGCATTATTGTAAAATTATACATAATTTGTATTTTTTATAAAGTAATAATTAAGTTTCTTAATTTGTGCGAAAAATTTTAAACGTCTTATAATTTGCGACGGAATTAGTATTACTTTTATCATTTCCAATATATGATAAGGGTATTTTAGTAAAAATATTATTCTCTCAATCATTTATTTATTTAATCTGTGTGAAAAATCAATTGAATAACGAGTTTTTTACGCAATTGCCACATTTTAAAATGAAAAATACCATAATGCCACAGTTTGAAAAAAAATTGCAAAACTGCCACATTTTTACTATGGGTTCGCCCATTTAATGGACGACCCATTGAAGGCCCAAAATTGTAGTTGGGGTTTGACCATCCAAAGGCCGACCCTATGCTACTTTTTTTTTTGTTTTTTTTTTAATTTTAAAAATAAATATATAATATATATTATTAATTTATGTTTTAAATTGTTTTTTTATATATTAAAATTTATTATATGATTTAAAATATTATTCAATAAATAATTTAATTAGTTTAAATAATTTTTTAATATTATTAAATATTTTTCACATTATGTAATTAATTATTTAACTAATTAAATTATATAAAATAATAAATAAAATCATAAATAAAGGAAACTTTATTAATACTTATGAGTGAAAAAATACATCATATTTATTTACGCAAATGACCGCCAGTTCCACACATTTTACTCTGTTTCACGCGTTTCCCTCTGCCTAACTCTTCGGGTTGCCGTCTTGGAGGTGATGGGGTAGAGTCGGAAGTCAACTTTTCATTTTCAGATTGATGTGATGTATCGAACATGTCCACATCAGTAACAGAAAAACCTGGTCATTCCATGAGTTGATCATCAGTTAGGGTAAAGTTAGGGACTGAGTGAGATGGTTGGGTGAAGGTGGTTGGAGGACTTTGTTGGATGGGAGGGTAATAAACATCGTCAGTGCGGTCGGTTGAAGTCGGTTGAGACATGAAGGGTTAAATGTTTGGTGTTGTGGTTGGGGGTAAGAGAAATCAAAATTAGGTTGAGGGATTGGAGTGAATTGAAAAGAAGGTCGAAATGTGGTTTGTTCCTGGTATTGTTGGTGGTAGTAGAAGTTTGGTTGTCGGGTTGGGGTGTATGGTGTTGGTTATTGAGAGGAGGTGACAAAGAATGTGGTATGAGTGCGTTGATATGTTGGTTGGGGTTGTGTGGGTTGGGGGTGTTGGTATGGGGGCTGGTTGAATGAAGATGTCTGGGTTTGAAATTGTGAAGGGTTCACCTGAGGCATTTCTTGAGGCATGGATGAAGAGGATCTTTGTTGTGATGAAGACGATGCATACTGACGGGGGTCTTCTAGGAACTGACCTTGAGAAGCATGCATAAATGGAATGGATAAAAACCATTGCATATATGCAGTACTATGAACATAGTTACCGTTAACCATGTTACCTCGTAGGGTCAATTTTTTTCTGTTTCTCCACTCGTTATTCTCTTCTTTATTTATATTGCGCCAATGATCTCCCCATGTATTGGACATTTCAGTATCATGTTGTTCACGTAGACATCTAGGCTGAGGAGGGATATCTTGTTGAAATCCAAACTGCAATTTTACCATATCAGCCTGATGCATTTCAACGATATAAAAACTGATAATTGAAGTTGTAGCGCTCCAAATCTGGCTATCTTCAAGGACGCATTCTGGGTAGCTTGGGCAGGGCCTCTAAATAAATTGTTACAGAAAATATAATAGTTAGAGTTTAAATACAGACGGTGACACATATTTAGAGAATGAACGTGATCCCCAGGCCAATCTTTGTCTAGTATCCGAGCAACATCCATCAATCAAGAGTGCTTACGATGATCCTGAAAATGGGTGGCAGTTTCCTCCATCTTCACATGTTTACTGTATCAGACACATTGCGCAAAACTTCATGCGTGAGTTTAGAAACAAAGAACTACGAAAAACAATTGTCAACATGGGTATGTCTACATCTTCACGAGTTGATGTTTCAATTTTTATTTTTTGACTTAATGATTTTCATATGTTTTACTGAACATTTTGTTTAAACATTTTCATCTACAGGATATGCACTAACAGAGGCAACATTTAACTACTACAGGGGCGAACTACGAAGAACAGATAGAGCAGATTTGGAATGGATAGACAATATTCCCAGAGAAAAGTGGTCGAGGGTGTTCGACGGAGGACAACAGTGGGGACACATGACAACAAATTTGGCTGAAGCTATGAACTTGGTACTTAAGGCTACCTGAAACCTTCCTATTACAACATTGGTCAAGTCAACGTACTATCGTCTGTGATCGCTGTTTGGAAAACGAGGACACAATTGGACAAAACTATTGGCATCCGGTCAAACTTTCACGAAAACTGTAACAAGGGAATGGCCGATGAAGCGATTAAATCTAGCAGCCATAATGTCATTCAATTTGATTGCAAGAGATTATGTTTTATGGTTTCCGAAAGCATTAATCAACACGATGGCCGACCATTAGGTACTTTTAGCGTTGATCTCAGGAGAGGGTGGTGCGATTGTGGGAGGTTTCAGGCATTTCATTTACCTTGCTCCCATGTAATCGCAGCATGTGCCAGTATACGACATGACCATAACATGCATATACCAGATGTTTTCAAGGTTCTGAGTGTATTCAAAGTATACAGCGAAAGCTTCCTTGGACTTCCACACCAGCAAAATTGGCCAACATATGAATGATTCACTCTTTGCCATGACGAGACAATGCGAAAGAGTAAGAAAGGGCGTCCAAATAGTACAAGAATTACAACTGAAATGGACGATTTTGAGAAAGAAAAGAGAAGATGTGGAATTTGTCGAGAAATTGATCATATGCGGAGAAAATTTCCGAACGTGGCATACCCGTCAAATCGATCCGTCTAATTTTTTTTTTTCAAATGATTTCTTAAATTGCAATGTGTAATATATAAGTTATTAATATGTTAAATTATGTAGTCAATTTTTAATATTTAAATAATAATGTCTATTATTTTATATAATTTAATTAGTTAATAATTAATTAGATAATGTGAAAAATATTTAATAACATTAAAAAATTAATTAAATTAATTAAATTATTTATTAAATAATCTTTTAAATTATATAACAAATTTTAATATATAAAAAATAATTTAAAACATAAAATAATAATATATATTATGTATTTATTTAAAAAAAAAACGTAGCATAAGGTCGGCCTTTGGATAGCCGAATCCCAACTACAATTTTGAGCCTTCAATGAGTCGTCCATTGAATGGACGAGCCCATAATAAAAATGTGACAGTTTTATAATTTTTTTTCAGACGGTGGCATTATGGTATTTTTCATTTGACAGTTGTGTAAAAAAATCCTAAATAACTCGTTATAGGACAAATGAAATACTATTTTTTAAATTTTATAATAAGGATGAAGAGGAATATTATTTTTGTATAATGAAAAGAGAGCTACTCTTTAGTCAAGAGTAGACAGTGTTATGTTGAGACTAGCTGGTAGCTAGATGATCACCTCCAAGAATCTGATTCTTACTTTTGTTCTATTTTTCTTCAATTTCCCTTTTTGTCTCATTAGAATATCATAGTTTTCATCTATAAATACATTGTCACTCTATATAATATCCTACACAAAGTTCACTCATAATAACAACAACAATTCCTACACAAATTCTTTCATTAATATGGGAGCCAACCTCTCCAATATAGAGTCTGTTGTTGAGAGATCATCACTCCCATCTCCCATCCTCACCTTCCATTCCACTGCTAAATGGAAGGCTCACTTTGAGGCTTCCAAAAAAACAAACAAGCTGGTAATAAATTTTGATATTATCTTACCTATAATTTTGATATTTTTATAAAGTGGTTAATATTTTTTCTTATTTCGTTAAAGATGGTAATTGACTTCACGGCTGCTTGGTGTGGACCTTGCAAATATATGAATTCAGTTATCAAAGAATTTGCTGCAAAATTCAAAGATGTTGAGTTCATTAAGATTGATGTGGATGAGTTAATGGTACAGTAATTTCTTTTAATTATCTTGGCCGTTAACTATATGCAACGTTTTTACTAATATATATTTTTATACGTAATGGAAACAGGAGGTGGCAAATGCGTTTCAGGTGCAAACAATGCCAACATTTATTCTAATTAAGAATGGAAAAGTGGTTGAAAAAGTGGTGGGAGCAAAAAAGGAGGAGTTACAGAAGATGATTGAGAAACGTAGGAGGAGTTTGAGTGTGTGATAATGAAGTCAAGACGAGATGACTTCATGACATATATAGTTATATTCTGTTGAGAAAATAAGACACTAATATAGTAAGTTGGTGTTGTTGTTTGTCATTAGTATGACTATATGTTAGTGTTGACCAATATCCATGCATGTGTATCGTTCGAACGTATAACTAATGTTTTAAAAATATTGCTTATTATTATGAATGTGTCTCACAAAAATACATTAATATTATTTATTCATAGGGAACAAGAAAAGATGAAAAGAAGAAAGTAGGAAGGGTTCGATTAGGAATTACTAAAGTTGAAAAATATATAGAAAAATATAAATATGTTAAACACGAAGCATTATATATCATCTAATATTTCTCTTCAAATTTTCGATGAAATAACATGAAGTATAGAAAGTTTGACAATTTAGAAATAAAAACGTGAATACAAGAAGAAATAAATGATAACGTAATAGTGTCATGCTGAATGTGAGAACGAGTGAAAACACAATCAATTTTAATGTGTTAGACACATTTATAAAAGACTAAATTGTGAACAATTTGAATGATATTTTATTATCACAATTCATAAGAGTTGGTCTATGCAGAGGGCTTTCCATATCAAAAAATAACTAACACATCCAAACTATTTCAACAGTGGTGGTGTTATAGTTCGATAATAAACTTTTATAGAAAAACTATAAATGTTGTTCTACTTTTTACTCTAAGAAAAATACAAAATCTTATGATAGACTTAAGATCGATAGGATCAACGGTCCAAACAACGTCTAAGTAAGCACACAACTTTTAGGAAGAAAATGATACAAACAAGAGATATTGAAATTGAGTTCTTAAAAATAATGGAGAATAAGAAGTATAAATAATATAGTGCAGTAAGAGAAACAATAAGCTGCCTAACAACACGCACCACATTAGAAATATTAGATATAATAATAATAAGGTATACGAATTAGAGTAAGCAACTTGAATCCCTCAAATAAAGTGAAGAAAAGATTTAGAACTATCATATCATAAGGAGCCTTTCTATAGGTTGTTTTATTGATAGTTACCCATATTATCCAAAATCATCTCAAATTTTGTCCATAATCGCAAGTTAGTTCCCTAGCACTCGCTTGAAACTCGAAATAACTATAAAAGAATCATGAGTGGACTTCGCCAAGGTCAAGAAAATGGACCCAAAATTATGAAAGCTCATACGTTGTGAAAAAATGCCTTTTCTAATGGAGCTTTGATTATTACAATAATGGATGGAGAGGAGTTTCCACTCCTCGTGAACTCAGGCGCAATCAAAAACTATTGTGCCTAAAAAAAGAGTAAAAAGTCTGCTAAGTCGAAAATCCAAAATGATGACTTAGGCAAAAAAAGGTCATCCCAGTGGACCAAAAACTCGAAAGAGCGGTCTAGGAAAAAATTAGGGATACAAAAAAATTGTCCGCTAAGTCAAAAACCCGAAAGGGTGGCTTAGGAAAAAAGAGACATCCTGGTGGATCGAAAAATCTAAAGAGCGGTCCAGGAAAAAGTTATAGATTTCCAAAGAAGGAAAAAGACTACAGCACGCAAGCCTGCTCCAAACAAAAACAAAAGACAAGAAGAATCAATGACATTCTTCAAAATGCAGCAGAAGTCGAGAATCCAAGGTGAGAGAAACCCGAGGAAGAATACTTAAATGATGCCAATGAAACCTCAAGCACCGTTTGGCTCCTGCTTGAAGCTGATGATCATTAGGCCATTTTATCAATTGCATTTGTAATTTCTTTATTTGCTAGGTTCTATTTGCTTTTAAATTTATTGCTATTGGATGATAATATTAATAAAATGAGCATGCATCTTTGGAATCAATCCCTCTGTGTTCACTCTTTTGTATACCATCATTCTTTACTTGCAAGAAGAAAAAATATATCAATGATTTTTCATTCCACTTTTTCTTTCATCAAATTTTGTGTTAGAAAATATTGGATGAAGGATGATGTAAGCAAAATAACCAAGGTTGCTGAAGCATGCTTTTGTCAGTAAGAACTAGCTAGTGATGCAAGACATTCCTTCATTTCTCAAAATAAGGAGTTAAAGAGATTTAATCTCTAGTAAACCCCTTCGAACCTAGAAGTTGGTGTTCTTTCTGTTTTAAAAAAAACTCCAATCTTAACCAGGGACAGGGTTGTATTTTCAATTAGTTCGGCTATGCATTCAAAATCCAAGAAAAATCATTCCATCTAAGACTTCAAATTAGAGGTTCAACCACACCCTCTTCCTCTCACATGTCATACTATGTCGAAAGCTTACAACAATTATTTCTCTCGTACCATTAACATGGAAGCCAAAACCCTTTTAATAAAAGAACAAATTTCGTAGAAATTGTTCTCGAAAAAAAAGAAAATAAAAAACATAAATAAAAGGGGTCATCAAAATCCTTTAAAAAAATATAAAAAAATAAAAACATGATTATGACCATCATACCACAAATAGAAAACAAAAAGGGTGACTGTCATCTTAAGAAATCTCAATAGTTCTTTAGCGATTATCTTCATATTTAAAACCAAAAAATTCTCTTGAAAACTAAATGCATCCATTGAATTAATTGAATTTAGGAAAGGAGGTAACCAGAAGGAGAATCAAGAAGGGTTAAAATCGAATTTTGAGCCTTATAATACTTTTATTCATAATACGTGAACCAAACCATGCTACAAACTTCAAAACACCTAATTGAAGCTAGGTTTACTTTGAAAGTATACTACAACAAAATTGTGTTAAGCTGACTCCAAAGATATTTGCTAATAATCTGCACTGGTATCATGTTACGTATTTCCGTTTCCAAACCTGAATGTCTAAATCTACAATTCATTTTAACCAGTGAGCCGTTCATTACACATCATAATATCATTTGAATAATACTTCCAATTTCAAAACATGCATGAGCGTTGCATTATAATTACCATTTTAAGGAACAATTTTATTTGCAAATTAACATTTAGAATTGAGGAAATTTCAACAATCTAACATCAGGGGAAAAATGCCACATGATTCTATTGATTAGGGGAAAATCACCTTAAGAATTGATCAGGGGCACACCACTCAAGAATCGGTCAATCAGGGGCAGACTGCTTCAAGATTCAAATACTCTGGAAAATCACTCTAAGGACCAGTCAATCCGGGGTAAATCACTTCAAGACTCGATAAATTGCTCTAAGTATCGGCTAATCAGAGGTGGATTGCTTCAAGGTTCAGAGTACTGAGGCAAGTCGTCTCAAGGTCATATTACGATGAGTTTTTTCAAAAATCTTATTGAGGCAAATTTCTGCAAAAACCAACAGACCGGGGCAAAATAGGCTACAAAGGGGAAAATTCTTCCATATCTTCGAGTTTCTCAAGCGAACCCTACAATACATCAACATTGATCGAGTCCAAAATGAGTGTCGAGAGATTATGCTAGGACTATCTTCTATCAAATAACATTTTCTCTTGACAAAAGGCTTTGTTGAAAAAGAATCTTGCCATCCATTACCCACCACATGAGCGTTTTTGGAATCCTTCAAGTCATTATCACTCAATGTCTTCATGTCAATCACATTTACATTGCTCTAGAATCAAATCATGCATCTCATCCTATGCATCATGGCATATTTCGACAACGTCTAGCATCACAGATATGTCAAAAAATTTACCTTGTAATACAAGCAAAAATTAAAAAAGAAAAGCTTAATCTGGCTTGGTACAAAAAAATCCTAAGCTTGCTTGATACCTATCAAAAGTCCCATCTCCATGTGCACATCCTAAAATTAACACATTGCATACATCATGCTTTATATATTAGGTCATCATACATCTTTATGCATCATTCATAATGTATTTATCTATCCCATATAATTGGTTAATCATACCTCATGCATTAGTCATCACATTTCATACAAATCTCACTCAATTATCATACATAACATGATTCATGTGTAGCAGTCACCAAAGACAGACTATCATCAGCATTATCAAAGTTCAACTCACTTAGAACCTCAAAGCCTAATCATCATTAGCATTAATCATCCGACCTTAGTGTCCCCAGTAAAACTCCTTAATGAAACTCATTGACCATTTAATTTATTCTTTCTAGTTCGCCCACTTAGTACTGTGACTGACGACAATCTCTTCTCATTTTGTTTCGTTCTAGTGGATTTCCAAAACCTTTTACCTATTTGATTCAGATGGTCTTCCAGATTTCTTCTGTCTCATTCTGATGGTCTTCCAAAATTTACCTTTGTTTTGAAGGCCTTCCAAAACATCCCTTTTTCAAAATCCGATGGTCTTCTGGATATCTACTTTGTTCTATTCTAATGGTCTTCTGGAACTTTCCCCCTTTGTACCTGAGGATTTTCGAATCTCGTTTATTTTTTTTGAGCATTTCCATAAACTCCCTTTCAAATACGATGATTTTAGAATCTCAAAGTTTCATATATCATCTTTTTGTTTTGAGGATTTCCAGAACCTACCATTTTGTTTTGTGAGAATCCAAAACCTATCATTTTGTTCAATGAGAACCCATAACCTACCATTTTGTTATGTGAGAATCTAAAACCCATGTTTTTGTTCTGTGAGAACCCAAAACCTATCATTTTGTTCTGTGAGAATCCAGAACCTACCATTTTGTTATGTGAGAATCCAAAACTCATCTATTTTGCTCTGTGAGAACCCAAAACCCACCATTTTGTCATGTGAGAATCTAGAACCCACCATTTTTTATGTGAGAATCTAGAACCTACCATTTTTCTGTGAGAATCCATAACCCATCATTTTGTTCATGTGAGAATCCAGAACCTACCATTTTTTTCTGAGGGAATCCAGAACCCACCATTTTATTATGAGAGAATTCATAACCCACAATTTCATTATGAAAGAATCCATAAAAGCATAATTTTTATTATGTGAGAATCCAAAACCCACCATTTAGTTATGAGAGAATCCGTAACTCATCATTTTGTTCTGTGAGAATTAAGAACCCACCATTTTATTCTGTGAGA